GTCGGTCAAGACAAAAGCTCTCGTATAGAGCATACTATGGTTGGTAGTAACCATGGGGACAATATTGTCCCGACCCCTAAGGGGAGTAAGGTCTCGAAGAGACAATCGAGACGCCGAGTAGCAGCTGTAAAGCGCCAGGCGTCCTCACAGTCACATAGTGAGATTATCAATACACTGTATACACTTGTTAATGGAGTGACTGGTCGGGTTGATGGCAGTGTTTGCCTTGAAACCCTTCCATCCGTGGACGCTCTTTGTGAGCTAGACGAAATGTCTGATGGCGAGTTTAGCCAGGCCTTGAAGGCAGGAGAGTTATCCGAGTTAGCGGTCATTAGACCTGATACTGAGTTGAACTCTTCCTCGTTAATGGATGAGTCTGTCCTAGAGGATACAAAGGCGGCACTTAGTGCACGAAGTGGATCTTCGATCCTTAAAGATCCGTCGGATCCGTTCTATCCTTTAGTCAAGGAATTTCAAGATGTGGTGTGTCACAACCCACCTTCTGCCTTACCTCCCGATAGAGGTGTACGTCATGAGATTGACTTGGTTCCTGGAACTAAATACTGTGTAACACGGCAGTGGCCTTTGCCTAAAGAACAGTGCGACGTCATTGACGATTTCTTTCGTGCTAAGCACGCGGCTGGGATGGTTCGTGAGAGCAAGTCTCCCCACTCAACACCGACATTTTGTGTCAAAAAGCCAAATGGCAAGTGGCGTATTGTGCATGCTTACAATAAGCTTAATGCAGCTACTATACCGGCGCAGACGCCTATTCCTCGAAAGGATGTTCTTCAGAACAATATGGCGGGATGTACACTGTACAGTGCACTCGACTTAGTCGATGGTTATTACCAACTGCTCATGCGAGCAAGCGATATTCCGCTAACAGCGGTGAGTACTCCGAGCGGTATGCTTTGGGAGTGGCTCGTTATGCCGCAAGGGCTATCTAACGCCCCGGCTACGTTTAACCGGTTGGTAACGCAACTATTCAGACCTCATCGAGGCTATGCACAAACGTACTTTGATGACATTTTTGTCCATAGTCGTGCAATGAATGGGCGATCAGATGTGGATAACCACATTGATCATTTACGAGCTGTGCTCGAGTGCATGCGAACGAATAAGCTGTATGCGAACGCATCGAAGTGCATCTTTGGTGCAGAAGAGATTCCCTTTCTAGGGTGCTTCATTGGGAAGCGAGGCCTTCGAGCGGATCCCGCTAAGGTAAAAGCCATAGTCGATTGGCCAGTCCCCAAGAACCAAAAGGACTTGCGTAAATGGCTTGGCCTTGCCAATTACTTACATAAGTATAGTGCAAATTACGCAGATATGGCTCGGCCATTGTCCAATCTCCTTAAAAGGATGTGGGTTGGTGTTGGGGTAACACCGAACATAATGCTTTTGAAGCAGTTAAGGAGAGTCTCCTCCATGCGCCAATTTTGGCTTTGCCCGATTCTGGTCGGCCTTTCAGTGTCGTCTGTGACGCATCTGACTTTGCCATAGGCAGTGCTCTGTTACAAACAGATGTCGACGGACGCGAACGCGTCATCGCATTTGAATCTCGACAGCTGAAAGCTGCTGAAAAGAACTATCCTGTTCATGACAAAGAGCTACTTGCTATGAAGTACGCTCTTGTCAAATTCAGAGTCCATCTGCTTGGCTCGAAGCCATTTGTGATCTATACCGATCATGCGTCATTGCGCACTGCGACACAGTCGCCTCATCTCTCACAGAGAATGGCTCGTTGGCTATCTTTCTTTGCCGAATATAACTTCGAGGTGAAGTACAAGCCAGGTAAGCAAAACGCTTTGGCTGATGCGCTATCGCGTCGACCTGACTATGAGCTTGCTCATGTTACGACCCTGTCGTCGTCAGTCCCTGACTTAATTCGTGCGGCATATGCCAAGGACGATCAGTGTGTAGCTTTGCTACGTGCTCTTGGGAGCAATGAGTTTAAAGACTCGGACATAGAATTGTCGGCACGTTTACGTGCGAGGCTACATCGATATTCCATCGATAATGGCCTATTGTGCTATCGCACGGATATTGAGGACAACCCTCGTATCGTAGTACCTCATAATGAGGAATTAAAGTATCGGATCCTCTATGAGGCACATGATACTGCTTTAAGTGGTCATCTCGGTCGTGAGAAGACTTATAGCTCGGTGAGCCAAAGTTATTGGTGGCCCAAACTTTATAAGTGGGTGCGCACCTATGTGCGTACGTGCGAAACGTGTCAACGGGTAAAACCCTCGGCACATGCGGCGGCGCCGCTGGCTAGTTTGCCAGTACCCAGTGGTTGTTGGGAGTCCATGAGCATGGATTTTGTGTTTGGCCTACCGAAAGATTCGGAAGGCAACACTGGTATTGTGGTCTTTGTTGACCGATTGAGCAAGATGGCTCACTTAGCGGCTGTGCCGGATAGCATCGATGCGGAAGGTACAGCAAAGCTGTTTATCGACCGTGTGTTTCGCCAACATGGCTTGCCTGTGGCAATTATCTCTGATAGAGACCCCCGCTTCACTGGGAAGTTTTGGAAGTCTATCTTCAAGGTGCTTGGCACTCGATTGGACATGTCCACAGCGGATCATCCGCAGACCGACGGTCAAACTGAGCGTGTAAACCGCGTCATCAACGACATTTTGCGCAGTATTTGCGCTGATACGCCTAGGCGTTGGAGCTCAATGCTCCCTGTTGTTGAGTTTGCATTGAATAACGCTGTTCATGCCTCAACAGGCTTTACTCCGTTCTATATAAACGGTCTCACTCACCCTCGCGTTCCGTTAACGCTATCACTACGTGAATCAGGGCTTGGTGGGGGAGAGGTTGCCGATCGGCTTGCTGATATCAGCCCTGCTACTGTTCAAAAACAGGTAAGCGAGTTTCTCGCAACGCGATTAAATGTCCTAAGACATGTGCGTGACGCAATGGCTGATAGCCAAGATACCCAAAAACAACAAGCTGATGCCAAAAGCAGAAATTGTATTGAACGTTATGAGGTCGGAGACCAAGTACTACTCAATGCTAAAAATCTACCTACAAATGTAGTGTCTGCTGTCTTTAAGACAAAGTTGCGTCCACGCTTTATTGGACCGTTCACGGTCACGGCCAAAGGGGACTTGCGTATACGCTAAACCTCCCACGCAAATTGCGCACACATCCAGTGTTCTACGTAGGCTTACTTAAGCCGTACCGGGATCCTTCCCATGTGAACTTGGAGGCGCTTGCGCCGACGACAAGGGCACCGCCCCGGATTGCTGTAGACGAATCAGCAAGTCCAACTGAGCCTCGCTCCGAGTTTGAGCTTGCTCCATCGCCTGAAGGCGGTTTTGCATCGCATCCAGCATGCACTGGGACTTACCCAAGGCCGCTTGAAGACCCTTCACTTCGAGAACCAATTTCTCGTGGGCCTCCACCGGTACACCGGCCGCCACCGACGTTGCTCGATGAGCATGGGTGTCGTCAATTCCATGTCGAGAGACTACTGAAACGACGTCGTCGTCAGGGCCAATATCAGTATCTGGTAAAGTGGCGTGGGTACCCTGAGTCTGAAAACTCATGGGAATTTGAGGTACCCCTTCGGCAAGACTGCCCATATGCTTTGGAGGCTTTTGAGCATCGTGGCCATGGTCATCGCGAGGCCGAGGCCGTTCACCACCACTAGTGGTGCGGGTTGGCAGGTTGTTGGTCACAGACTGACCAGCACTCGCGGCTACCTTAGTAGCCGAAGCATAGCGCGTGCGCTTGCGCAATTGGCCTCTGGCCTTAAGCTTGGCATAATCATACCGAAGCTTGCGTTCGAGACGCACATCCGCCGCATGGGCACTAGCCCTTAGAGCAAAAATGTTGCTGAGGCGACGCACATAGTGCACCCAGTGAACAAAGGCATCGTCTTCTTCACTCGCTGTTTCGCCTGCGAGCAGGAGAATGGGTATACCCTTCATCGGTGGAACTGGTGCACCACGTGCTTGCATGTCAAGGCGTGCCTTGTATTGACTTTGAGTCGTTAGGTGCGGCTCCAGGTACCTCTCACGAAGTGCCTGGCAGCTCACCACCTCCTCAGGAGTCTTAGGCCCATGGCCAATGACCCACGTTGCCAATGTTTGGCCGGCCGCTTGACGCAGACGTTCCTCCACACTGGGTGGGGTGAACACATAATCACGCTGGCGTTCAAGGGTTGCAGTCATCTGTGCATAACGCTGAGCGTTTTGTTCTCTTTGAACAAGCAGTTGTTGTTGCTCATCGAGCGGGTTCGCGATGATAGTCTCATCAAACCCAGATGCTGCACGCTGCGCTGGCGGCGCGCTCGCACCTCCACGTTCAGCGAACGGATTTGGGGTGTTCGAAAGTTGTGCCTCAGGCATCAGTGAGCCGGACGTTGTCCCTGTGTCACCGCGGACACTGGTATCGCTACCATAGTCCACCTCTTCCTCTATTCCGAGGTAGTCACACAGAGCCTTTGACTCGTTTGGTGATGAGGACATCGTGCTAGAGCGTACGTTACCGTGAGGTTCACCGTACGCGCACTGTTCTCGCTGAGAATACGAGTTCGATTGACGTTTTGGGTAAACGTCAGTCTGGTGGGGGAGGGTGTAACGGGGTTGCACGAAATCATGGTACTTTGTACCAGAGGTGTTACACACCTGAGGGTTCGCTTCTGTGAAGGTGATATAGAATATCTTATCGGTTTGTAGGGGCTGACAAGTGTCAGCCATTAGATACGAAAGATCTTTGAGTAGGATTAAGATATTCTATAGGCTTTAACATTAAATAAAATCAGTTCCCATTTTGATCTGAAAGACGCGTGGCTTGCGAGCCGTCTTGATCGTTGATCTCTGATCACTAAGAGTTAGCAACACCTCCTTGAGGTAGCTACTCTTGAGCACTAAGTGCTGTCGATTCACTGAATCGTCAGGTCCCCTGGAACAGGGATCTGAAGCTGTAAAGCTTGCTGACTCGTAAAGTCGTTAGTTCTTTGGAACTAAGTTGCTCGTAGAGCGTTAAGTCTTCCTCTGACTTAAGGAGCTGTGTAGCTCCGCTACAAAATCCATGGACGAAAAGATGGTACTCTTTGACATACCATCAATGATTACGTCCTTCCTCGGTATCGGCGTCTGAGCCGGTACCGTTGCAGCGTTCAATTTGTTAAACGCGTGCACTATCCGCCACCCTCCTGTTGCTTTTCGCACACAGAAGGTCGGAGAGCTATGTGGGGAAGTTGATTCCCTCACATGGCCCGCTGCTAAACGATCGGCAAAGAACTTGTCGATCGCAAGTACTTGTTCACGAGGCAGTGGCCACTGCTTCATGACACAGTACTTCGAGCCTGGTTTAAGCTCGACTTCGTGTCGAATACCTTTATCCTTCGGTAATTCGCACGGAACAGTTTCAGGGAATACATCCTTGAATTCAACCAAATCTTCATAGAGAGGATTTTCCTTGAGCGATTCCCATGATTGGGACTCATATCGCTCAATTCGTGTCTTTTCATCTAGGACACTCTCGTCCATAGATGAACTACTGAGAACTCTCTCGTTCTCAGTAAACACTGTTGCTGACCTTATGTCGGTTACATACTCGTCTTCAGCGACGAGTATGCAGATCTGCTTGACTTTGCCACTACGCAGATCACGCAAGAATCTTTTATGTTCGAGCGTTGGCAGCTGAGTGATCTCCGAAGTTAACTTCGGAGGCGCAATCAGATCAAGTGTATAAGCGCCTACACATGATCCGTTATTGACTATGACATTCAATGTCTCTGTCATTTCCTGGGGACTTATTCCCTCAGGCTTCGAAGGACTTATTCCTTCGTCTTCCCGGGGACTTATTCCCGCGGGTTTCGGGGAACTTATTTCCGCCGTATTTGTAATCTTGGGACTTATTCCCTTTACTTCCTCTAGCTGGGGTTGCGCAACCACAGCGAGATCCTCTACGAAAGACTCTCCAGTCGATCTAGGATTATCGTTTCGCTTAACCTGAGCGATCGATTGTTTCTCTTCTAGATGTTCCCCTCTAGGGATACATCTTTGTCCCAGTCCACCCGACTTATTCGAGTGGTGGACCTTCGGCGCAGCCTGTGTTTCCTCACAGCCGCCGGAACTTTGCTCCGAAGTGTAACCGTTTGGTACACTAAGGTTTTGTGCAGTCGTACTAACGACCGTACCACAAGTGAGGCCATCGCACTCACTCGTAGTACATCCACACGCTTGTGGACGCTCCAAAACGTTCATCAGATGGCCATCTGATGAACAAGCGGCAGGCATCGTTACTGTCCGATGTTGCCAGTTTACCCGTGGTTCGTACCTTCTGAGCCACGGTATTCCAGGATGACATCAAATTTGTCATCCAAATCCAATACGATAAAGTCATCGTCGTATTGGGTATCTTCTAGCGTATAGTGAATCTTCACTATACGCTTCATATTTGATTACGGATGCGCCTGTCGCAAGACGTACCGTCATCCTCGTAGGAGGTGTGTCACATTCACTGAATTTAAAGTGACCATCTTCTAGCGATTGGCGTCGCACAAAATTGTTGGACGCCCCACAATCGACTAGAGCTCGAAGGGACAACTTATTCGTCACTTCGAGTTTCAAGGTAATGAGTGAGATCTCATTACCTAGAGCAGCAACGCACAATGTCTGTGTGTTGGGAGCAACCTTCATCAAGAGGCCTACAAATTCTCTTGACGTTGCTGGATCAGTAGGGTGCTCCGCACCTACTGATCCTGTCCGTTTTTTGACGGTCCATCCCGTTGTTGCGTCTTTGCACCAACTGCGGACCCTCGTCCCTGCCCCTTTATCATGGGTGGACGGTCACTACGCCCAGTGTCGCGAGACACTGGACGAGGGGCACTACACTCGTAAGCGTAGTGTCCTGTCTTACGACATCTGTTGCATCTCTGCAACCTCCTGTAGCCTGTAGAGCGAGCCTTCTCGCTCTCTACATAACAGAGTTCCATCGGCTCTGGACCTCCGTTGTCATATCGTCTCGGTTGACGATATGATGTCGAGCTGGCGCGAGCCTGTCTCAGACTGAAGTCTTCCTGCTCCGCAATTGAAATGGCTTGTTCTAGTGAATCTAGTTCAAGCCGGAACAGGTGAGTCTTGACGGGACCATCCGCAAGACCCTGCATGAACACCGAAACCAACGTGTGTTCATCCACCGGATTGGAACTTATACAACTTGTGAGATGTCGTATATGTTGAGCGTAAGCGTGCACATCACGCTTACCCTGCTTGAGCTTCAAGAGTTCGGTTCGAGCTCTGAACTCAGCTCTAGGCGGTTCAAACGTTTGTCTGAGCCGCGACTTGAAGACTTCCAACGACCCAAACGCATATGGGTCGTGCAGCTTGAGCCCCAGTGCCCAAGTCTTGGCACGTCCTGCCAGATTTGACTGGGCAAATGCAACTTGCATATCCCCGTCGTCGATGCGACGCGCCCTTATGGCGTCATCCAATTCGACGAACCATCTCAAGAGGGAGTCTTCTTCGACCCCCTATACTTTGAGATGTCAATATTCAAAGTCTCGGGCCGACGCGAGTGCATCGACCCGCCAGCAGCAGCCTGCTGCTGTCTCAACAGTTCAAACTGTTGAGCACCTTGTTCTCTCAACAACTCTGCTTGTTGAGAACCTTGTTGGTGAAGCAAGGCTACTTTCTCGCGTTCTGCGTCAAGTTCATTTTGAATGAACTTGGCGATAGTAGCATGTTGGGCATCTCTATTGAGAGCCTCTAGCATGACGCTAACAGCATGGATGCCCATGGTCGAACCCATTCGTTCAACCGCATCCCATTCGACATCGCTCAAATGGGAGTAGCCGTCACGCGTAGCGTGAAAGCTTTGGTCATCTTCATCATCCAACATATTCATGTTGGATGTGAACGCGGTCCTTGGACGGACTACTAAGTGCTACCAGGTGTAACGGGGCGCCCTGAAGCTTGTACTGGTGACAGTACAAGCTACTTATTCTGATAACAGAATAAGGCGGTGCCTCGTAACTTCACGTACACTCGTACGTGCAGAGGAAGACGATAAGAAGAAGCGAGTACTTGGTTAGAGTAAAAAGTAGAACTGTATTTATAATAGTTAATGTCTGCAATAAATCACTATTTATCTTCATCTAACTATGTCTAAATACAAATGTGTAAATCAACTATCTGCTCACCACTCATTGCGTGCGTCTGTCGTGGCGCGTCTTCGTCGGTTGATATAATGGCCTATATCAACCAATTAGGAACTACTCGTAAGTGCTACAGAATATTGTCCTTATGACAATATTCTGAGAATATAACTCTTATAGTTATATTCTATTAACAATTTCTTATAAATTGTTATGTAACGATTCACCCCGTTACAATAGACGCCTAATCTGTAACGGGGCACCCTGAAGCTTATACTGGTGACAGTACAAGCTACTTATTCTGATAACAGAATAAGGCGGTGCCTCGTAACTTCACGTACACTCGTACGTGCAGAGGAAGACGGTAAGAAGAAGCGAGTACTTGGTTAGAGTAAAAAGTAGAACTGTATTTATCATAGTTAATGTCTGCAATAAATCACTATTTATCTTCATCTAACTATGTCTAAATACAAATGTGTAAATCAGTTATCTGCTCACCACTCATTGCGTGCGTCTGTCGTGGCGCGTCTTCGTTGGTTGATATAATGGCCTATATCAACCAATTAGGAACTACTTGGAAGTGCTACAGAATATTGTCCTTATGACAATATTATGAGAATATAACTCTTATAGTTATATTCTATTAACAATTTCTTATAAATTGTTATGTAACGATTCACCCCGTTACATCACCCCCCCCTTAACCATCAGTCACTTTAGTGACTGATTGACTAAATGGATACTCGTCCCAAATCATTTGGGACGGGGTTTGCACTTGTTGGTCCGCGTCCACTTTCCAACATCTCATCGCATGGTAAACAAGCCCATGCGATGCGCGAGCAAGGCCGCCGAGAGCGCGTCTGCACGTCTCTGTGCGGACGCCGAAGCAGAAACTACAGCAACTGATGTCCCATCGGTTGCTGAATCGACTCAGCCTGTATCACCTGGTGATGCAGGCGCTGGTCATGAAGACACTCGTGTCTTCACAGAGTACGAGCTCGGTGTCTCGTACTCTCCTGATACGGATGACGGATCCGTATCGACGGCAATTGAATCCAAGCCGCCTGCCAAGCGTGGCATGGATGATGCTTTGCGTCGCAGCATCTTTGGTTCATCTGATGAGTCAGATGAACCATCGCCAACGAAGGCGCTCGAGGTCGCGAGACTCGGGCGCTAATAGTGGTGTCGTTTCTCCAATGGACACCACTTCACAGCGAGGTGCCAGTACTTCTGTCGGCACGTCGCAGGAAGAGCGGGACCGCAATGTCTTGCGTCTCGCTCCTGAGAATAAGGCATGGATGCCTCCCAAATCAGTCATGGATCACTTGCCGGCGACGATGAGTGATCGTTATCGAACACGATTGTTCGATTCGTCAAGGATTCATCACCTTGACCCCAGCGCGAAAGACTATCGCGCTGAACATGAGTTCTTCATCGATGCTTTCTTCAGACATCGATGGTACAGTGGGAATCACAAACGTGATGGTCCCTCACTACTTCAGGCGTGGAACGCCTACATCCATAATCTCGAGGATGTAGGTCGTGACGCTTGGAACGACAAACTTATCAAAGCTCGTGATAAGTTTGAAAAGCGAACCCCGACAGGTGCACGCTACAAGCTGCATCGTCTGTCAAGGGAGAAAGGATTACCCTGCCTCTCTTGGGGAGACTCGTGCCCATGTTGTGTGAACAACTCTGCACGAGCACCTAAGGAGGCTTACCTCCTTACCAGCCCGTGGTGGCGCGTACGTGTCTCTACTGAGATGTACGAAGGGATTGACAACCTGAAATCCCTTTACGACCGTGCCGGGAAGACTTTCTCCGGCGGTCCTTCTGCGGCACAGGATGTGTCGCGTCGTACTGCTCGACCAGACCCAGTACGTCGACCATTAGTTGGGAGCGGGGCTCCCAAGAATCCCAGGACGGGGGATAGCCGCGCCACCGGACGAGATAACTCGTCCGACGTCCGTTCACGTCGCGGTGGTTCAACAGCTGCTCAACTAGATAGCGCTGGCCACCGCGAGAGTCCTCTAATGGAGGTGGAGGAGGAGGAAAGACGCTCTCCACACGATCATGTGGATCGGTGTGTTCCCGAGAGCTTCTTTGATCGCGTAACGCAAGGGTTACGCGACGATCTCGAGCATGAGCGGAATAGGCGTCTCCAGATGGTGGACACTGCCTCGAAGCATCGAGCTGAGTTTGCCTTTGCTCAGCTTGAGAACGAGAGATCTCTGACATCTCTTCGTGACGAGCTAAGGGTAGCTCGTGGGATTGTTGATCGGTCTCGGGCTGAGATAACTGCTCTTCAGACCCTTGTTGATGCCCACCATCGGGAGCACAAGGCTCTCTGCAAGATGCTTGAGCGCAAGGGCGTTCTTCATCGGAAGAAGCAGCGTACTGATGGTACGGCTTAAGCCGACCAACGTAAAACGTGGGATGCGTTCGCATCTTACGTGGTAACTCGATCGTGTATGCATTGCCTAGGCGGTGCAATACACGAAATGGGCCAATGTACTTGGGTAGTAGTTTACTGCTACCCAAGTTGAGTCACTACATGCTTTGGTAGATTAACCGTAGACAGTAGGACTAAGTCACCTTTATTAAATAAAAGAGTGTTTGCCCTTCCATTCTTGTCAGCGTTTTGCTTTTGCTTATCCACCGCTTCGGCGATGGAGTCTTGCACAAAACGGACTAACGTTTCACGAGCCAGTATGAACTCATCTGATGACTCGTTAGCTTCAGTGTGCTGTGAGCGCACTGCAGCAACATCAACCTTTTCTTCAGTGAGGGCTTCCGCACTCTCACTGGGATCATCTTCTTCAGTGAGGGCTTCCGCACTCTCACTGGCATCATCTTCTTCGATATCGATGTTATCGATATCGGCATCAAACGCAATGACTTCTTCGTCAGAGCGTGATGAGCGTGAACCAATTCGGTTTTTGCTCGCGCGAGTCCCTCCCCCCCTTAAACCAGAGTTACACTCTAGTAAGGTGGGTACACGCGGACGGCGCAAGCCATTCACGTAAAACGGTGTATGTGTCGTGGACGCATGCACCGAGTTGTTGATGGCAAACTCTACCATCGGCAAAAACTCACTCCAACTCTTAAAGGAGTGTACGTATCCTCGAAGTATCTCTTCAAGGACACGATTGGCACGTTCCGTCTGACCATCTGACTCTGGATGATCAGATGTTGACATCTTCAAGCGCGTTCCGAGTGATTTGAACACGGAACGCCAGAAATCAGCAGTGAATCGTGGATCTCTGTCTGATACGAGTTCACGGGGCAACCCATGAAGTCGGAAGATGGTGTCAATAAAGACACAAGCACAGCCACTTGCCGTGATTGTCTCTGGTACAGCCACAAGGTGTACCATTTTGCTGAATCTGTCAACAAATACGAGAATACCCGTATTCCCGCGTACGTCTTTGGGTAAACCGAAGACGAAATCCATTGAGATGGATTCCCAGCACTCAGCCGGAACCGGTAGAGGCTGTAAAGGTGCACGCAGTGAAGGGCTTGACTTCACTCGTTGGCAGACTTCGCATGCGCGAACATACTTTCGCACAAACTGATACTGGCGGGGCCAGTAAAAGTCTCGACTCACCGTGAGATATGTTTTCTCTCGGCCACGATGTCCTCCTATAGGAGCATCGTGATACTCGAACATGATCCGCAAACGCAGATCAATATCATCTGGAATGACAACACGTGGTGTGTCACCAGAAACGGCTGTATAGTACAGTAAACCGTTACGAGTAGTGTATCGATCTGATGCAGATCGATACGCAGACGACAATCGTTTCAACGATTCTCGAGATGGTTGGGAGAGATGTGACAACAACTTCACTATCTCACCATCTTGGGCGTATGCCCGCCTCACATCATCATACAACGTTGTAGATGGAACTGAGGACGTCATAACCGCAACAGTGACTGTCTCACTGTTGGGTTTCGCGACTGTTTCAAAGTCGGGACGACGTGAGAGTGCATCAGCGACGACATTAAGTCGTCCTGGTTTGTACTCGACCGTAAAGTTGTATTCTGCAAAGAATGACAACCACCGCGCCATTCGTTGTGAAAGGTGCGGGCTGTTCACTGCCGTGCGTAAGGACGCATGGTCAGTGTAAACAACGAAGGGTCTATCTCCTAATAGATAGACTCTGAACTTCGCGAGTGCATACTTCATGGCAAGGAGTTCCTTGTCATGCACTGGATAGTTCCGCTCAGCTGGTTGCAGCTGACGCGACTGATAGCAGACGACGCGTTCAACGCCTTCAAGGTCGTACTGCATTAATGCACAGCCGATTGCGAAATCGCTGGCATCACAGACCACATGAAATGGCCTGTCCTGATCGGCTATTGCTAGGACTGGGGATTGTATCAAGCTCTGCTTGATACCCTCAAAAGAGCGTTGACATTCAGCGTTCCATAACCACCTCTCGTTCTTTTTCAACAAACGAGAGAGGTGTACAGTCATCTCGGCGTAATTGCGTGAATACTTATGCAAATACGCCGCTAGCTAAGGAATTTTCGAAGACCTTTGACATCGACCGGCACGGGCCAGTCGGTGATCGCCTTGATCTTTTCGGGATCAGGACGTACACCGTTCTTACCAACGATGCACCCAAGAAGTGGTATTTCGCTTGCTGCAAATATACACTTCTTGAGGTTTAGCATACAATTGATGCTTTCGCATGATTGTAAGAACCTGTCGGACGTGGTACCTGTGAACCTCAACATCCGACTTTCCATCCATAGCTCGACTATGGATGAATACGTCATCGAAATAACTCGGCGCGAATTCTCGTACTGGTCTCAACAGATGTGATACACACCTGTTGAACGTGGCAGGGGCATTACTGAGCCCTTGTGGCATTACTAGCCATTCCCAGAGCATGCCGCTAGGCGTGCTAACTGCGGTATAGGGTATATCCCGTTCCCGCATTAGGATTTGATAGAAGCCATCCATCAAATCCATGGACGAAAAGATGGTACTCTTTGACATACCATCAATGATTACGTCCTTCCTCGGTATCGGCGTCTGAGCCGGTACCGTTGCAGCGTTCAATTTGTTAAACGCGTGCACTATCCGCCACCCTCCTGTTGCTTTTCGCACACAGAAGGTCGGAGAGCTATGTGGGGAAGTTGATTCCCTCACATGGCCCGCTGCTAAACGATCGGCAAAGAACTTGTCGATCGCAAGTACTTGTTCACGAGGCAGTGGCCACTGCTTCATGACACAGTACTTCGAGCCTGGTTTAAGCTCGACCTCGTGTCGAATACCTTTATCCTTCGGTAATTCGCACGGAACAGTTTCAGGGAATACATCCTTGAATTCAACCAAATCTTCATAGAGAGGATTTTCCTTGAGCGATTCCCATGATTGGGACTCATATCGCTCAATTCTTGTCTTTTCATCTAGGACACTCTCGTCCATAGATGAACTACTGAGAACTCTCTCGTTCTCAGTAAACACTGTTGCTGACCTTATGTCGGTTACATACTCGTCTTCAGCGACGAGTATGCAGATCTGCTTGACTTTGCCACTACGCAGATCACGCAAGAATCTTTTATGTTCGAGCGTTGGCAACTGAGTGATCTCCGAAGTTAACTTCGGAGGCGCAATCAGATCAAGTGTATAAGCGCCTACACATGATCCGTTATTGACTATGACATTCAATGTCTCTGTCATTTCCTGGGGACTTATTCCCTCAGGCTTCGAAGGACTTATTCCTTCGTCTTCCCGGGGACTTATTCCCGCGGGTTTCGGGGAACTTATTTCCGCCGTATTTGTAATCTTGGGACTTATTCCCTTTACTTCCTCTAGCTGGGGTTGCGCAACCACAGCGAGATCCTCTACGAAAGACTCTCCAGTCGATCTAGGATTATCGTTTCGCTTAACCTGAGCGATCGATTGTTTCTCTTCTAGATGTTCCCCTCTAGGGATACATCTTTGTCCCAGTCCACCCGACTTATTCGAGTGGTGGACCTTCGGCGCAGCCTGTGTTTCCTCACAGCCGCCGGAACTTTGCTCGAAGTGTAACCGTTTGGTACACTAAGGTTTTGTGCAGTCGTACTAACGACCGTACCACAAGTGAGGCCATCGCACTCACTCGTAGTACATCCACACGCTTGTGGACGCTCCAAAACGTTCATCAGATGGCCATCTGATGAACAAGCGGCAGGCATCGTTACTGTCCGATGTTGCCAGTTTACCCGTGGTTCGTACCTTCTGAGCCACGGTATTCCAGAGATGACATCAAATTTGTCATCCAAATCCAATACGATAAAGTCATCGTCGTATTGGGTATCTTCTAGCGTATAGTGAATCTTCACTATACGCTTCATGACGATTACGGATGCGCCTGTCGCAAGACGTACCGTCATCCTCGTAGGAGGTGTGTCACATTCACTGAATTTAAAGTGACCATCTTCTAGCGATTGGCGTCGCACAAAATTGTTGGACGCCCCACAATCGACTAGAGCTCGAAGGGACAACTTATTCGTCACTTCGAGTTTCAGAGGTAATGAGTGAGATCTCATTACCTAGAGCAGCAACGCACAATGTCTGTGTGTTGGGAGCAACCTTCATCAAGAGGCCTACAAATTCTCTTGACGTTGCTGGATCAGTAGGGTGCTCCGCACCTACTGATCCTGTCCGTTTTTGACGGTCCATCCCGTTGTTGCGTCTTTGCACCAACTGCGGACCCTCGTCCCTGCCCCTTTCTCATGGGTGGACGGTCACTACGCCCAGTGTCGCGAGACACTGGACGAGGGAGCACTACACTCGTAAGCGTAGTGTCCTGTCTTTTGACATCTGTTGCATCTCTGCAACTTCTTGTAGCCTGTAGAGCGAGCCTTCTCGCTCTCTACATAACAGAGTTCCATCGGCTCTGGACCTCCGTTGTCATATCGTCTCGGTTGACGATATGATGTCGAGCTGGCGCGAGCCTGTCTCAGACTGAAGTCTTCCTGCTCCGCAATTGAAATGGCTTGTTCTAGTGAATCTAGTTCAAGCCGGAACAGGTGAGTCTTGACGGGACCATCCGCAAGACCCTGCATGAACACCGAAACCAACGTGTGTTCATCCACCGGATTGGAACTTATACAACTCGTGAGATGTCGTATATGTTGAGCGTAAGCGTGCACATCACGCTTACTCTGCTTGAGCTTCAAGAGTTCGGTTCGAGCTCTGAACTCAGCTCTAGGCGGTTCAAACGTTTGTCTGAGCCGCGACTTGAAGACTTCCAACGACCCAAACGCATATGGGTCGTGCAGCTTGAGCCCCAGTGCCCAAGTCTTGGCACGTCCTGCCAGATTTGACTGGGCAAATGCAACTTGCATATCCCCGTCGTCGATGCGACGCGCCCTTATGGCGTCATCCAATTCGACGAACCATCTCAAGAGGGAG